GTCTCCTAAGGCTGTTCCAGCCCATAATACTCTCCCTGTCTCCTAAGGCCTCTCCATCCCATAATATTGCCAGACGCCTGACCTGTGGGCCAAACCCCAGCCCGTTCCACATATCGAGGCTGTGTCAGCGCCGCCAGTCTGCCTCCCTGTCCCTCCCTCCTCCCTCTTCGGCGCTCAGCCTCCCGGGCTCTCTCCCGCCCTCCTGCCCTGGGCCCCTCTCCGGGCCCCACCCTGTGCCTGCCTGGGCCCTGACTTCCCCTCCTGCCTCCTCTCTTGCCTTTCTCCTTTGCTTGATGTTTCATCCCATGCCCCCTCTCCTCTCCCTTTCAGGCGCTTTCCACCCACTCTTCTGTCCGTGGGTGGACTTGGGTCCAGTGGGGAGAGAGTGCCCCCAGAGGGCAACAAGCCAGTCACTGCCCCTGAAAACTGTCGACTTGACCTAGTACTATGGAAACTCGCCTGGCCTGCCTTGCTCACCCATCCTCTGGCCCTCCCTTGCTAGCAGAGTTCTGCCTGGGTGAGGATTCACCTGGCTCCCCTGTTGTCTTCCAGAAGCCCTCGGCTTGGGCATCACAAACAGACTTTGCCAATGGCACTTCCTCCTCACATTCTTGTGGGAAAGAGCTCCCCTTTGCAGATGCCTCTCAGGTGCTTTCAAATGAGGTGAGCCCATTGACCCTCACAGCAACCCAGAAGTGGGTATCATGCTCTCCATTTCACAGAGGAGAAAACAGAGGTTCAGAGGTTAAGTAATTGCTAAGGTCACAGTGCTGAGAAGTGTCAGGCCTGAAATGAATGCCTGGGTTTGTCTGATGCCAAAGTTCAGAGAGCCTTTGGGGTTCTCCAAGACCCATGTGAGGAACTTCACTTCTTAATGCTTTCAGTGTGCCCCTGGATGCTTTCAGCAGGCTGAGAGTTAGTTACCCAGCCTCCTTTGTCACCAGGGTCTCCTGAAAGAAAGAAAAAGGGAGGCCTGGTGTGAGATTAACCTCCCCTCCCCATTTCTTCCACAGAACCCCAGGTAGGGACCTGCAAGGACTTCCCTCAGGATGCTTCAGTGCCGAGAGAAAAGCATCTCTGCCCCTTTGGGGTCCCTTATTTATGCCCTGGTTCTCCTGACTTGACTTTAAGACCAACGATTGTGACTTCCTTGACTACTCTGGGCATGGCAGGACCATCCTACAGAGGAGACAGACTTTGTGGAGAACCCAGGGGAGGTCTCCTCTTCCGTTTAGTTGGTGGACAGTCAAGAGTGCTGCGCCTTGGAGATGCTGGGCACATCCTCACTGGGGTAGGGGAGCCACAGCCAGCTGCACAAAGGCTGAGCTATCCTGCGATGGATGCCCCAGCCACAGGACATTCTGCACCAGGGCTTGAGGCAAATGGAAAGGGAAGGGATGGGGTGCTGTAGGCTGAGTGGGTTAGAGCAAAAACTGGGGGAAGAACTGGAAAAGGGGACAGAGATGGGAGAACAGATCCAAGGTGAGAGGGGCATTTGAGAGAGGTGACTTACATGGGGAAGGAAGAAGAAAAGAGAGGAGAGAAGGGTGGATGTCACAGAGGCAGGGATGGGAAGATGGGAAGTACCAGGAAGGGGAGATCCAGGAGATTTCTAGGAGCCAAAGGGGTACCACACCACTCACTGGTTGTGTAGCCTGAGGACCTCAGCTTCTCCAGGCTGTTTCATCTATGAAATAGGGTAATAATCATTCCTAACTTATGGAGTTATTTTAATAAGATAATGTGTTCTAAGCACTAGATTGAGATCCAAGCATACAGAAAGTATTTTTATTATATTTTATTTTGATCTCTGAACTTTTTATTGGCCTCCTGCTCAAGGGTTGTGCCACTTCTGCTGCCTTAACACCTCAGAACTTGGCTGTCGTTGACCTCAGACACCACTTTGCCATCCACAGTCCTGCAGGTGGTGGTCTTTTGGATGGATTGGCTGTTGTCCAGGGCATCACCAAGATTGAAGTCCTCCCCTTCCTCCAGCAGGCCACAGTAGGTGGGGATCTCAGCCTCCATTTTGACGTTGATGTTCAGCAGGGCCTGGTACTCTTGGGCTTGGCACTGCCCTTCTGCCCAGGTCTGGGCCAGCGCTGACTCCAGGTGCAGCAGGAGCCCGATGAGCTGTTCCCTCTGCATGGTATAGTGCGGCTCCACCTCCCTCAGGCTGCTCTCCAAACTGGCCTTTCTCACCAAGTCCAGGTTGATCTGGAGGGACTGGACCATACGTCTCAGTTCTGTGAGTGTCATCTCAGCAGCTCCCATCTTAGTGGTCTGTGATGTGACCACTGTGGTGCTCTCCTCAGTCTGCTGAGACCAGTACTTGTCTAGATCCTATCAGTTCTCCCAAGCCAGTCAGTCTTCATTCTGGGCCCAGATGTCTGCAGTGATCTTGCTGAGGTTCCTGAGATTTGGGGGCATCCAACTCCACTATCAACCCAGAGTTGGCAGTCTGGTTTTGTAGATCCTTTACTTCCTCCTCAAGGTTCTTCATGAAGAGCAGCTCCTCCTTGAGATCCTATACAAAGTGTATTTTATTTTATTTTTAAGACTTTTTATTTTCAGAGAGAATGGGAGGGAGGGAGAAAGAGGGATAGAAACATGTATGACAGAAACATCGATCAGTTGCCTCTCACACACACCCCCAACTGGGGACCTGGCCCACAACCCAGGTGTGTGCCCTGACTGGGAATTGAACCTGTGATTTTCCAGTTTGCAGGCCAGCACTCAATCCACTGAGCCACACCAGCCATGGCCAGAGTGCATTTTAAAAACTTGCTAGTGCTCTTCTCCCTCCATTTAAGATTTTCTCATTTTCCTCCTTTGGATTTTTCTAAACCTCAATTGGGGTAACTCGAGGACATGGACTTTGAGTTCCTGACGTCTCGTCTCCATCATACAGCCCACTCAGTAACTGGGGAATCCTGTGATAACAGCAGCGGCTACAGGTTTTCTTAAACTTCCCCAGCCTGTTACTTGACAGGTTCTGGTCATTCCTCCTCTGCCTGCCACATCTCCTTAACCTATTTTTGCCTCTCTCTTCCTGTGATGGGAATTCTAGGGGCAGGTGTACTGAATGTGCAGACACAGTCCACCTGAACTTAAATACCAGAGATTTCCCATTGGAGACAACCCATCTACATCCACCTCCACAGGCCATGATCACGCTGTGCCTGGACTATTTTAATAGCTCCTTGACCAGTCTTCCTTTCGTCTTAGACTCTCTCCACCTGACTTCCTATGGTTTATCCCACACAGTATGTCAGGGTGAGCAAAACCTCACTCAAGAACCTGCAGGGACCCTGGCCAGGTGGCTCAGTTGGCTAGAACATTGTCCCAATATGCCAAGGTTGAGGGTTCAATCCCCAGTTGGGGTACATACGAGAATCAACCAATGAGTCTGGGTAGGTGGAGCTACAGGTCGATGTTTCTCTCTCTTTCCCTTCCTCTCTCTCTAAAAATCAATCAATGAATAAAAATTTAATTTAAAAAAAACCTTCAGGAGCTTCTCATTGCTCACTAAATGAACTGCCAACACCTTACCCTGCATCCTTGCATCCTCTGTCTTAAATGGTAATTACTATTGATTTGTTCTTTGGTCCCCATTAGATAGTAAACTACTTCGTAGGAAGACCCAACTCATCATTCAACAAATATTTATTGAGCACTGTTTTGTGCTAAGCGCCATTCTAGATGCCAGGGGTACATCAGAGAACCAACCCCAAATCCCTGCCCGCAGGGAGCTTCCATTCTACCTAGGTTGGCAGACAAGACACAATAAACTATAACGAATAAGTAAATCATATGGTATGTAGAGGATACTTGCTGCATGAATTTTAATTACTTTGGAATTCATTCACGTATCAGCATATAAAAATAGTCAAGCAATTTTTTAAAATTGTGTTCAGTTCTGTTTGGATAGGGCAATGTGCTGAGACTTTGGACTAAGCTATGCTTGGCGCTCCCAGGGTTAGAAGGGCATGGGTCCTGAATTCTAAGGATGAAGCAAGATGGAGCAGGTGATAACCATCAGGCCTCTTCTAGAGCAGCAGGAGCTAAGGGCCTAGTCCGGGACTCTAACCTCCAGCCAGGTGGTGGAAGGCCCACACTTCAAGGCTGTCTCTGAGGAATCTGGGTCAGTTCTCCGCTTTGGCCACCAGGGGTCATTTTATCCCTGTAAATCACCATCTGGACAGGTGACATAAAGACACACAAAAGGCTTACTCCAAACCGAAATGGAGATACACACAGAACCCCGACGCTGCCGTGTGTGTGCACACGCACACACACAAGCATACAGCATTGAGAGGGACAGGCACGGAAATGCGTACAAGATACGTTAATGGCAATAACTCCCTCACTGATGTCAGGGCCTCAAGATGTCATAGTGCCAACTCTGCAACCCCTCCCTGCTCCCAACTCCTGTAAAGAGGGAACAAAACAGGCACTCTCCGTCCCGGGAACACACCTGCCCCCCTCCCCTCCCCCTCTTTTCCCCCCTGCCGCCCCAGGAGTGTTACCTCTACCTTCCTCTCTCCTAAGCTCCAAGGGCTCCTTCCTTCGCCTCTGTGATTTGTTTCCTGAGCCCCTTTCTTCCACCTCTGTGACTCTCTAGATAAACTTTCTCTTATTAAAAAATAAATAAATAAATAAATAAAGAGGGCCCTGACCGGTGTGACTCAGTTGGTTGGGCATTGTCCCCCAAAGCGAAAGGTCACCAGTGCGATTCCCCGTCAGGGCACCTGCCTGGGTTGCAGTTTTGGTCCCCCTTTGGGGCATGTACAAGAGGCAACCAGTTGATATTTCTCTCTCACATCAATGTTTCTCACCTTCTCTCTCTCCCTCCCTTCCCACCTCTCTGAAAGATTATTTATTTATTTTTAGAGAGGCGGGAAGGGAGGGAGAGAGAGAGGGAGAGAAACATCAATGTGTGGTTGCCTCTTGCACACCCCTAACTGGGGACCTGGCCCACAACCCAGACATGTGCCCTGACTGGGAATGGAACTGATGGGCAGCCCTTTGGTTCACAGGCCTGCACTCAATCCACTGAGCCACACCAGACAGGGCTATATAAATAAAATCTTAAGGGGAAAAAACAGAGGAAAGAAAGCAGTATATGGCTCATTAAACCAGTCTTCCATTTCCCTTGCCTCCAGCTTGCTAAGACCAGCCACCTATTCCTGTGCTCCCATGGCACTCTGACTGCCCTGCGAACTCTTCTTTTCCACCTGTGGCACAGTCCCTCTTCCCTCCCAGGAGAAGCTCCACCCCTCCTCTTGAGTGTTTGCATAATTAGTTCCACCCCCACCTTAGGGCTGCTGCTCCAGGAAGCCCAAGGCAGTAGTGTTCCTTTCCTCATGCAGCTCCTGCTGTCCCCCACCACCCCCCTCAAACCCCAAGCCTTAAGGAATACAATTAGCAATTGATTTGGTGAGCATTGCTCTCCCCCATAAAATATGATGTACACATAATGCCCTAAGAACAAGCTACCCATGAGCTCTAACACTGTATTACTCTAGTATACATATGGTTCTCAAAGTGTGATCTGGGGACCAACTCTTTGAGGAATCCACGAGGTCAAAACTATTTTCATAATGCAATGGTACCTTGGTACTCGTCAGTAATTCCTTCTGAAACTCAGTGAGAGTGCCGAAACCGACGAGTCCCGAGCAAGTGCTGCGTGCGGAAGCATTTTCGTTTCTCGTCACGATGCGATGAGTACAGGGTTTGACGAGTTCTGAAGCCGACAAGGACAGCAGTGGGACTGCACCAGTCATTTGTTCTTTGCACTCCCGTTCTCTCACACAGTGGGATTTTCCAGAGGCTTCATGAACTGTGATGATATCATTGCGCTCACAGCTAATGAAATGTGTGCTTATGAATTTGTTGTAAAAGCTTCATTTTAATTTCTAATATGGTGAGTATCTGATTTCTAATGTGGTAAAGTATAAGCAAAAGCTCTTTGGAATCCTCAGTTTTTAAGAGTTTAAAAGGGTCTGAGACCAAAAAGTTTGAGAACTGCCACGTTAGTACAAGCAATTGTTTCCTTATTGTAGATGAAGCAGGGGTGGGGGGTGGGGAGGGGAGACTTAGGACCTAGACTGGAGGAGGTCTTAGAAGGGGGTAAAGTTTAAGGATAAGACTTAGAAAGGGGAAGAGAGACGAAGATTTTGGAGGAAAAAAACCTTCTCACTGTTTTGTCCTGCCCCCAACCACCCCATGCTGGGGGTCAGGTCTAATTTGTTACAATTCTCTAAACAAAAAGGAGACCAGTTCTGTCCACATGCAATAAATACACTCTCGTATTATGGCCTCCGTGCCAGGCAGGGGAAGCAGAGGTGGAAATGAAATGTGGATGGCATCTATGGCCATAAAACTGCTGTGGTCAGTCTAAATCCAGGACACCCGCTTTCTGCTCCATCCACCAGCTCTGGGCAGTGTTTCAAGTCCCACCAAGGGCACTTCACCCAGTCATCTGCCTCTGTCTGTGTTGGCAGGCTCACAGCATCACTTCCTAGGAACTGGAAAAGAGGTCTTTCCTACGCTCACCATCACCACCAATTTAAAGACACTTCCACCAGCACTCTTCCTTCCTTGTGTCCCATTGTTCCCACACTTTGCTCCTGCATTTATGAGCTGAAGTTGCTATGCAGAAATCCAAGTGTCTGATCCACCTCCCTCATGTATGTACCATGCAAGTATGTGCACCCTGCAAGTCTTCCGAGTGTGAGAAGCGCGAGGGGATGGAGATGGATGTGACCGCGCTAGGGCCCTTTGGTGTTCAGAGGACAGAATCCTCAGCACACTGGGTGAAGGGCGTCCGAGGATTGGAATGCTCGAGCAGTCCTTGGCTGGCGGCAGCAGGCCTCGTGGTGTTGGGAGCCTCAGAGGGCCGTTGGGCAGACGTTCCTCCAATTCCATTGGTGGCCGAGGTGCTGGGCCGGAAAGGAGTGCCCAGGCCGCGCAGGGTGTTGCGGAAACCCTCGGCACTGAAGTAGTACACCAGCGGGTCCAGAACACAGTTGGCGCCAGCCAGAAGCACCATCACCATCAGCACGCCGCGCACTTTCTCACGGGCCGCCTGACTGCCCCCCACCAGGTCGCTGCGCAGCAGCCCGTAGACGGCTAGCGTGGTGTTGTAGGGCACGAAGCACAGCAGGAAGATGACCAGGTTGGCCAGCAGGAGGTGCACGGTCTTCCGCCGCCGCAGGCTCTGCGTGGCGTCGGGCCTCGCCAAGGTCCAAAAGACCCTGCTGGATGAATAGATCACGGCCACCAGCGGCAGGAGGAAACCCAGCGCTTCCGCCAGCAGCACAAGCGGTAGCAGCCCCCCCTTCCACAGCTTTTCACTGAAGCTCTCAAAGCACAGGCGCACATGCAGGCCTTTGGAGCTGCAGGGCGAAGGCTTGTGCACGAGCACAGTGGGCACTGCGAACACCAGGATGAGTACCCACACGCCCAGACACAGTAGGCGGGCCACGCGGGGCCGCCGCAGGTGGCGCAGCCGCAGCGGGTGCACGACAGCAGCGTAGCGGTCAATGTTGATGAGGGTCAGGAAGATACAGCTGCCATACATGTTCATCTGGAAGATGGCGCCTGCAATCTGGCACAAGAGGTCCGGGAAGGGCCAGTGGTGCAGCGCATAGTAGGAGAGGCGCACTGGCAACGATAGGGTGAAGAGCAGGTCACTGGCCGCCAGGTTGCACATGTACACGCTCACCACTGAGTGCACGCGCAGGGCACGCAAGAAGACCCAGAGGGCCAGCGCGTTGAGCGGGAGCCCTGTGGCCAGAACTAGGCTGTAGACCACCATGTGCAGGCGGTGGGTGTTCCGGTAGTCAGGGCACGGGCTGGGCTCAGAGCTGTTGGTGGAAGTGTTGGTGAAGGAGTTGGCCAACATCGTGCCTAAGTGTGCTGAGGAGCTAGGCTCGGGGCATCATAGAGCACATCAGGGTCCTGGCATCACATTTATCTCCAGAACAGGGGCCCTGGAGGCTGCACAGAGACAGTCCCAAAGTGAGCAGAGGCAGGTCATGAGAATGTGAGCTACGGCTGCAGGGCAGATGGCTGCCAGGGAGGTGGATGCCTTTGGTCAGAGCTTCATTATCTGCAGACCTGAAATAGGAAGGTAAGCCCAAAGTCAAAGTTATGCAAGGGCAAGGCCTAAGACACAAATGCTTATCTAGCCAAACCTGCTGGCCTCTTGAGTCTTTTCTCAGTCTCAAGTCTTTCCCCCACCTTTCATTTGGCCAGAGTAGCTTTCTGCAGCAAGGCTGTAGAGCACCGTGCCAGACTGCTTGGGTTTAAATCCTGGCTTTGCCGATTTGCCTAGATTTTGTCCACAGAAGAGTGACTTATCGCTCTGAACTTCATTTTCCTTATCAGGGGGAGGGGTGGAAGAAGAAGGGGGTTCCTTCATGAGGTTTTTAGGTTAAATGACGTGATATACAGAAAGTGTTTGGCCTTTCACGGGTATGTTCACAGCAATGAACAGAACAAAGGCCTTGTCGCCACCTACTTTCGTTCCACTGGAGGGTGACAGGAAATAAAGTACAACAAATAAGAAGATGTTACGTCAGGTGGTGACAAGGGCGATACAGTACCTCCCCTAGAACAGGCTCTCTGCTGACTCCCCATTACCTAAGAATGAAGTTCAACCTCCAATGACAGTACAACATCCCAGCCTTGCTCATCACATCCACTGTTGCTCCTGTGTGAGCCGGGTTTGTACTCCAAGTGCCCTGAGGTCACCTTGCTTGTTTGACCTCGAAGTTTCCACAGCTGTAACGTAGGGATGATAATGTAACAGGGCTCTCCTGGGCTGATCAAACAAGCAGCAGAGTTCTACCAGGGTGAACAACCTGTGGGTGGAGCTACTAGGGAACTTCCCAGATGGGGTTCTGTGATAGAAGGGAGATGGTGGTTTGGTGGTGAAGGTTCCAAGGGGACCTTAAGCCAAGAGAGCAAGGCCGTCAGGTGAGAAAGTGCCAGGGGCGCTGATGAGGCTTCTGGAGAGAGCTGGCTGCCGTAGCTGCAGTCCTCGGGCAGCAGCTGGCAGACAGGGAGAGGGAATGGCTGAGAGGTAGAGGAGCCAGACGACAGGACATGGTCTCAGGATCCCACCTTCCTTAAAGCCACGAGGCTACAGGAGCTACCCAGGTGCCATTTATTTTGTGCATATGTGGTGAAATATACCTAACTTAATATTTACCATAGTAACAACCATCTTGAAATGTACTGTGGCATTAAGTACATTCACAATGTTGTGTAGCTGCCACCACTATTTCCAGAACTTTTTTCACCACCCTAAACAACAACTTCATACCCATGAAACAGTAACTGCATTCTACCACCACCCCCGCCCACCAGCCATTGGTAACCTCTATTCTACTTTCTGTCTCTATGAATTTACCCATTCCAGATGCCTCATATGGGTGGAGTCATGTAGTATCTGTCCCTTTGTATCTGGCTGATTTCCCTTAGCATAAAGCTTTCAAAGTCCATCCATGGCATAGCATGTATCAAACAGCAGTCATTTTTTTATGGCTGAATAACATATACTTGTATATCACGTTTCGTTTTTCCATTTCTCTGTCATTGGTTGCTTGGGTTTTTCTACCTGTTTGCTGTTGTGACACCCACGCCACCTCAGGGAGCAAAGTTGTCCAGAGACAAAGTTGTCCAGAGCAATTTTCCTAAGACATCGGACTTCTTCCATTCAAAAGAAACTGCTTGAATTCTTACATGGAACCAAGTGGTAAGCCTGGCTGTAACAAGTTTTCTTGTGGGTTTTTTGTTCATTTGTTCTCCCTCCAACCATGACTATCAGCAGTTTAAGACTTGTAAGAGGTAGAACAGTTAAAGGGGACAAAGAAACACTTACTCTGCAAAATACCAAATTCAGCAGTGAAAGTAACACTAAATGGGGTTTAACCATGCTGAAAAGCAAATAAAACCAACCTCTTTTCCTGGTTTTTGGTCTCACTTCCCATGCTCCTTTGCTCCAGTTACATCAAAATAATAATTTTGCACATACCTTATGTTCTCAGGACTCTGCCTTTGCACCTGCTGTTTCCTCAAATTGGAAAGAACTTCTTCTCGTTCTCCAGCTGGCAAACTCACTCACCTCTTAGGGCTATGTGAAGCCTTCTCTGACTTCCTCCCTCCCTCCCTACAGTGCAGATGTGGTCCCCTCACTGGCGCTCCTACTTGGTGCGAAGGTTTATCATAGCTGTTCCCACCTGTATTGTAATTAGCTGTTCTTCATCTGCACCTCCCACTAGACTGTGGGAGAGGCTGTGGACTGTGACTTATTCATCTTTGTATCACCAGCATCTACGTCAGTGGCAATAAATGTTGAGTGAAATAGCTGTTATTTACTGATTGTTCGCCATATCCCAGGGTATTTTATATGCATAATCTTTAATCCTCCCAATGGCCCTTTGAGGTCAGTGTTTATGCTCATTTTTACAGGAAAGAAGACTACTCAAGAGCTCGGTCAGGGAGGAGTGAAGTCAGGATTCAAACCCAGGACCTCCTGGCTCCAACATCCGAGCTGTCTGGTGCTACTTCCAGGAAGAGCGGATGGCTGGAGATGAGGACGGACACTGCACAGAGCCCCTGATCTTTTATAGGTACTTGTATGAAACCCGTACTAACAGGTAAATCATTTTACTTCCTCATTTGTCTAATTGAAACATATGCTTTTTAATAATTCACTTCTTCCTCCCACTTCAGACACCAGCAACACGGGCTCATCTCTCTCCCACACACACAACTACGCCCCTCCTCAGAAGTGCCGCTTACCTTAACTACGTAAGCACTTAGCTTGCTGCCTCACACTCCTCAGGTTGTTTTATGTCTATTTGTTCCATTTCCCCGACTAGGTGGGAGGATCCTGGGGTGAGGACCACATCTCTCACTGCTTCCCTTCCCAAGCTCACACACACTTCAGTCTCTCTGCTTAGCAGGCCCTGTGGTATTCACTGGCTGCCAGGCAGGATATCTGCCCCCTCCCCTTGTTTATCCAGTCTGTAATTCTGCTGTAACATTTCATATCAATCTAGTCAGCTAACCACATTTCGTTTTGTGTTTTTTTTTACAACTAACCACTTCTTCTTTGTTTGCTTGCTTGCTTTTTTTAATTTTAATGCATTGGTTGCTTCTTATATGTACCCTGACTGGAGATCAAACCCACAACCTTGGCATAGCAGGTGGTGGGTTCACAGGTTGTGGGCAGGGTGCTTTTCAATATTTTGTAGAACAGGTAATTTTTTTACCTATTTATTTTATGCTTCAAAGATTGAAATATGTATTAGTTACATATTGCTGCATAAAAAATACCTCACAATTTAGCAGCTTAAAACAATAAGCATCTCCACAGTTTCCCAGTGGCAGGAATCTGGGAATGACTCTGCTGGGCTGCAGTCTCGTGTGGCTGCAGTCATCTGAGGCTTGCACGAGAGCTGGGGGTTCTGCTCCCCACCACGCGTGTCTGTCAGCAGGAGGCCTCCTTCCCCGGCCCTCTGTGCGCCTCCACAGGGCTTCTCACCATAAGTCCATCACCTCCCCCCCAGGGCAAGTGATACTGGAAAACAACAACTAACCAGTTCTTATCACATTTCTGACTATCTCATCCATATGTATAACTCACTTAGTAAAAGATCATGTACCTTAAAAAGGCCTATTTGGAAACAGCCTGCATTAAAATTTCATGAACAGTTCACACTATAATTACAGTAACACTTTATCTTTCTTAACTATTACTTGGAAAATCAATACACGTTACAACTAGGGGGCACATACTAGACATTGAATGAATGAACAATCATTTTCCGAGAATTTCAAGTCTTTCAGTTGACCAAGTTACAATGTTAAACAGACCAAAATGTATTACATGAGCTGTTACTTGAAGGTAAAGTTAGGAATCTTTTCAAAAAGCAGATGGCAATGCTCTCATTCCAAAAGAAAGTCCTTGGGTTTCTTTATAGTGGCGCCTATTTGTCAAAGAGTCATCCCTTTCTGACAGCCTTACACAGAGCAGCCCAAGCTGAGCGCTGGGAGCTGCCAGGCCCCTGCCCCGGTCCCCACCCCATCCGCTGTTCCCTGAGGCTCCTGTCAGTGGAGCCAAATAGGCAGAGTGCCAGGCCAGATGGCAAGATGGAAAAAGCTGCCAAAAAGGAGGCAAACAGGAAATGGAAGGAGGGTTCTAGGTGTTGGGAAGGGGCAGCCTGGCCTCTCCCCAGCCCTGCCTTGAGGAGGAAACGTAGGAAGTAAAGAAACAGCAGCCACCCCAGGAAAGAATGGACACTGGGGTTTCATGTCACCAGGGAGAAGGAAGGACATGACACGGAGGCCTGCATAGGCTCAGTCACCTTGACGCACAGAGGTGGTAACAGAAACATACCGACTCCACACGCGTGGCCATGCAGGGACACACAGAGGTAGAGATAGGTACCCTATGAGATGTGCACACCAGATCCCTAATCACCTGTCAATCAATGTTGCTGCATACCCTGTAACACACAAGTATGCATGGAGGCATGGACTACCGGCCCCAGGAGGAAGGGCAGACGCAGCCCTAAGGGCAAAGAAAGCACCAAGCACACAGAGGCACCAGGGGCTGCGCCATCCCACATCACCTGCCCACCACACCGCTCACACCAGAGCGCATGCAGCCACTTTCCTCCTCCCTGCATCCCTGTGCTTCAGCCTCTGGGCCTAGGTTCCCTACGTCCTTAGAGCCTCTCAGACCTGTCCCATTGCCCTCTGAGCTGGGCTGGGCGCTGTTCTTGGCTGCAGGGACAGGACAATCTTTTACCACAGGCAGGAAGTGAGGATGAGAGAGTAAAAGTAGCCAGGAAGCTAGCTCATGATCACTTTCTCGCTTTGCTCTGTACAACCTGCCAGCAGTGCCCACCCTTCTGGCTTCTGACCGACAGTACAGATGGGAGCTGGAGACAAAGAAATGGGTGATTTGGGGCACCAGCAGGGGCAGGAAGGGGAGAGAAATACCCCCTCTTTGTCTATCTTTTCCTTTGGCCACCCTCTCCTAGAACTCCTCCCCTTTCCCCTCCACACAGCCATCAAATGCCCTGCTCTCTCCCCTCACCTCCTCTTTTCAGTAATTCACGTCTTTCAGAAGTTTGAAAAAAGGGAATCTCATATATCCCCATCCTCCTTGCCCCAGGAGATCGGCTCTAGAATGATCGCAACTTTTAATTTAATTTTATTTTATTATTTTATTTTATTTTATAAATTACTTTATTGTTGTTCAACAACCTCATTTGAGATTCTGGAGTCCCCACCAGGCCGAGCGCTGAGCCCACTTCCTCTGAGGCTGCGCCCGCTGCCCGCCAGGAGGGCGCACCCTGGACGCACAGGAGGCCTAATGATAAAGGCCCCCTGATATCCGTATATTCAGACTCCCCAAACAGATTCGAACTGTGCTGAGCCTCTGGCAGAAGCTTAACACAGTGTGAAGGCTTTGTGTAAGGCTCTGCCCCACAGCTGTTCTGGGGGATATACACGAATCCTGCTCATCAGCTCGTGCTGGGGCTGAGGCTGAGGGGTCTGTGGTGGTGTGGAGACAGCATGAGGACCCCCGGGTGAGCAGACGGCCTCATCCTGCTCCAGGGACTGTGTTCTTTCCGAAGAGAGGTAGCTCTCTGGTGCAAGCCCCCAGAGGTCATCCCAGGTCGTACGGGCCTGCTCTGCTTGCTCCAGCCAAAATTCCTCCTCCAGTCCCCACCCTCTACCTGAGCTTGTCTCCCGCTGCCTTTCCCACATCATCCGCAGCCATGTCTTCTCCCGCCCTAGGTAGTCTGATCTCATCTCTCCCATTTATTTTTTTCCTGGGAAAAGGGAGAAAGCAAAGGCGGCCTGCAGCTCAATAATTAGTCTCCCCAGTGTGGGGATGACACCTCCCCATCCGCACAGTTCCCTTCACCCTGCGTGTACGAGCTGGAAAAACAGGAAATAAAATTCCCATCCAGAGAACTCACTCAGACAGAGCTGTCCTGGCCCTGTGCTCGGGGAGGACTGCATGCCTCTTACCTTGCTGAGGGGCCCGGCTGAGGCCTGCCTTGGAGAGTTTCCTGCAGCCTTTTGACCTCGTTGGCCTCACCCTGAACCCTGACAGCACTGTGTGTGTATCGCCGGCTTCTGCCCTCACCCTTTCTCTGTCTCCCTCCCCGTGGGCCTGGGCACACAAGGCTTCCATTTTGAAGCACACGCTGGGGCAGCAAGGTGGGGAGGGCTGCCGGTGGCAGACGCAGACAGAGTTGGACTCCAGTGTCTCTGAGCTGCCCAGAAGTGAGGCTTGAGGGCATAAGTTTCTGTTTTCCCCTCAATCCCTACCTCCATCTCCCCTTAGGGCTACAATTTCAGCTGGAGGTACAATCAGGTAGGAGATCCCCTTCTTTCAGGGAAGCCCCCATCAACATAGGTGGTAGGGAGCCGCCCTCACTGGTGTGATGCAAAAATACCACTAGGCCTTGCCCATCCTCAAATATCCCCCGCTGTACTCAATATCTGACATGTCATCCCCCTCTTGTCACCCAGGAGCCACATTCCACCAGAGCCACAGGGACGTTAGAAATCACCTTGTCTAAGTCTGATCCTCTTATGTAGATGGACGCACTAGGTTAGGTCGGCGTTTCTCAAAGACCACATCAAAGTACCCCTTGGTTAGCCGGGAAGAACACGCATAAGCACACATTTGTGCCAGTGAGCCGTTCGCGGTGTTTCATCAGACACGTTCACTGTCGTCTAGCAGAGGACCTGGCCCTGGGGGGGCAAGTGGCTATGGGGGGTTAAGCGTTCCCTGAGATTAAGGAAAGGTTGGAAATCATCCCCAGGGGACCCTCCATGGTGGCCTTGGGAAGCCCAGGGCTCAGCATGACAGTGGGGCTTAAAGAATGACGGGGAGCACACGGCCTCCCGAGGCGCCCCAGCGTGGGGCTTCAAGCTTCAGAGGGGCCTTCCCCGGTGTGACCTCTGTCTGGTCAAGTCCTTCTGCCTGGGGCAGCCCTTGTAGCTTTCACACTATTCACAAACATTTTCCAGGGCCCATGGCCCACCCTCACCTCCATCTCCCACCATGTCCCTCATTTCCAAAAGAGGGGTGCTGACCCGCGTGCCCCCATACCTGTGTCCCTGTTGAGTTCTGCCGCTGCCCCAAGCTGGCTGCTGCTGCCTGTTCTGGGCTGGGCTGGAAGGGCCTGCTCCTGGGGCGGGTAGGGACACACCCACCTGGGCAGATCTCAGCAGATTCCAGTTCCTTGCACTCACCCAACCCCACAAGCGCAGGGAGAAAGAGGAGGAAGTGGTTGCCCTCAGCGGTCTTCACAGACTAGCCAGAGAAGAAACCCCGGCAGATAATGGCACTTACTCCAGCCCCAACTCTGGCCCCACTAATGATTCCCCCCACCCCCTGCTCACACACTCCCCAGTTTCCGGGAACCTTAACAGGCACACCCACCCACTAAAGTGATGACTAACCCACTAGCCTCACCATTTTCTGACGAGTTCCCCCTGAGTGTCTCTCTTTTAGATCCCTCAGGTGATTTTGCTCTTGCCACTCCTCACTTTACACCTCACCCTGCCGAGCGCCCCGCTGCATGCCAGGGCCCACTCTCACTGCAGAGCGTGCACAGCCTCCCCCCCCCCGCCCCCCCCCCCAATCACAGCAGTTACCTCCTTGCTTCTGTCTCTTCCCTAGGCTGTGAGCTGGAGGGCGGGCGGGGGGGGGCACTGGGCTCACAGAGAGCTCAGATGACAGCTTTTCTATAACCTTGGACCAAGCCCCTCATCTTCTGTATCAACTTGTGGTGCTTACTCAATACACAAAAGCAAGTGTTTGAGCGGTAAGTGAAAAAAGATAGTGTGGTTAAAGGAGTTTGAGACATGTTAGCTGAAACAGATTTCTCTATTACAGCACTTCGCAGGGCCTTGAACATTCCAGGAAGAGACTGGCCATGCGCTGATGACTGAAGCGGGGTGAGGGTGGTGCATGGGGTTGCATCACACTGTTCTATTTTTGTGCATGCTTTAACTTTTCCGTAAGTTTTTTTTTTTAATGTTGTTGATCACCATGAACCTATATATATATAGAGAGAGACTGTACAGCTTCCCAAACATATGTGTCCCTGGAATACGCTCTGAGAGACTCCAGGTTATTAAAGGCCAATACTGAAGTCACATCTCAATGTATGTTGACAAGACACAATCACCTCAACGTTCAGGCCATGTGCTCTTAACTGGATGTCAAATCAAGGGTTTCCCGAGCTCCAGGCCCCAGCTCTTTCCATCTCCTTGATAAAGGGCAAGTCCTGCCCTCTTTCCAGGGATTGGTGCCCCTGGGCATGACCTCACTGTCCAGAGGGACAATCCTACACTCACAGCTGGGCTCCTGGGGCCCAGGGCTTCAGAGATGAAGACACATCCACCCTCCTGGCCTACAGGACCCCCCGGCCCCAGCTGAGGCCTTCTTCAATCCAACTCCCTGATCCCTGATCTTTTAGGGTTTCCTCTCCCAGCAGATGGCTGCTTGCCTGATAATCTCATTCCCATGAAATCATCTCACCTGCAGAAGGATCCATAAGCCCTGGGGTGAGGGAGGGGTGGAGGGTTGATTCCCATGGGGCACTGTGGCAGTGCTGAGGATGGGATCATAATGAAAATAGCCCACATGGGTTGAAAATAAACACTTTATACAAAGACATCCTTTAAAGCGGGTGGAGTTTCCATCGCAGACCTCTGTGGGACTGCTGACCCAACCCAAGGAAACCGTGAGTGGGGACCAGGTAAGAGACCCAAAAGGGGCAGCCTGGAGGCAAACTGATGACAAATGGGGTATAAAAGTAATGGAAAATGTGGAAGGGTCAGGTGGGGTGGAGACAGGGCGAACTCCAGCTCATCCAGCGTGGCTGAGAGTCAAGGTGCTAAACTCCTGGCTCCATCGAAGCACCAGCTCCTCGCTCTTGGCTGGGGACAAGAGGCTGTAACTCTCGTTCTGCAGACATCTCATGCGGGACACCTACACCGGGATGGGGCACACAGTCTGAGTTACAGAGCAAGGAGCCAGAGGTGTGGCGGTAGGGAGGGAGGTGTCAAAAGTCCCGCGAGAACCAGAGACTGGAGGGCATGGGCACAGGGCAGTAGAGGAAAGGAGGAAACAGATGTGGGTTTTTCAAGCTGCAAGACACCAAGTAGCCCAGCCCCCTCCTTTCGGAAATCAAGGGGCTGAGCCCGGGGGAGGAAGTGACTTATCCCAGACTTCTAGGTGAGTAAGAGCAGGGAGGCAACACTGCAGCCTCAACCTCTAATTCCCAACCCAGCTGGGGTTCTTCCTGTGGTGTCCTCAGGGCCCTCACCTCTCATCTGCAGCATCCCTGCCCGCAGCCCCCTTTGGTTGGGTGGGGGGGTGGGGGGCTTGCTTACTCTAAAGCGAGGAGAGGGAGTGCTCAGAGGGAGGCCTCTGCCCTGAGAGGCAAACAGGAAACTGCTCTCCACATCCCTGCTGTTTGAAGCAGGGGAGGTGGTGTGGCCCAGAAAAGATACCCAACCAAGGTGAATGATTGAGGGGCTGATGGGAAGAGGAGGGGCGCGGGGAGGGGCTCACCTTCTTTTCCCGGTTTCTCATCAGACACTGTTGGCTTTTGAAGGCACAGTAGTTCGGGTATTGCACATAGTCTGTGTCACAAATCTAAACCAGGAGCCAGGGATAGGCAGGCAGGGAGATATTAGTGCCCAAGGTGGCAGAACCAGGGGCAAGGGTGTGGCCCTTGAGAACCAGACCTCTTACAGCTGGGTACCCCCCCCTCCAAGGAAAAAGCCTTTGTCCCCTCTGCCTTTCCCATCCCACCCTCAGTCAGGAAGAAGCAAGGAGCCAGCCAGAGAGTAGGAAATGGCTGTGCTGCTATTCAGCTTGCTGGAGAAGTGGCTGAGAAATGGGGAAAGGGGCAGGGGGGCACTAAGGGTGCAGAACTGGGCCTTCACGCCCTGTTCTACCTCAGGGAGCCTTCTGGTGATAAGTAAGTGAGAGGGAGGATAGAACAATCTCTAATGTGTGACCTTGGGTGAATCACTTCCCTCGGTGGAACTTGCCTCCCGTCTATAAATTCAGGGGAGCAGCAGAGGTGATTTCTGAGACCCCTTCCAGATCTAGGGGCCCAGAGATAAGATCTGGGCAGGGACCCCTCCGCTCAGTGACCAGCCCTTTCTTAGCTCCCCTACTTTTCCTTGTCTTGATTTTCCCTGTTAAACCACAGACAGGAGGGGACTGGTGCTCAGGTACAACAGGTGGTTCCACAGAGGAGGTGACTTTGGGGAGCGGGGTGACAATGATGCCACTGAGCAGGGAAAGCACTGGAGGAGTTAGGGAAGGAAAATGTCAGACTGAGGTAGGGAAGTACTGGATGCGGGGGCGAGGAGCGGCCTCTCAGGCATCACTGAGTCATTTGTTGTAGAGATGAGTATAACTTTGGCCTACAATGAGAAGTGACTTGACCAGTCTACAGCCATACCACCCTGAGCACACCCGGCCTCCTCTGAGAAGTGACCTGGCCAAAGCCCCTTGGCAATAACTGGCCAAGCTGGGACCAGAACCTCTGCCTCTTGCAATCCAGTCCTGTGCTCCCCTATCCCTCTCAATTCTGACTTCTTTGATAACACAGTCCTGTTCTACTCTGTGTGTGTGTGTGTGTGTGTGTGTGTGTGTGTGTGTGTGTGTGGTCTATTGGAGACAGGCAGCAGGTTCAGTGAGGACTGGTTCTCAGAAGCTAGAGCCCAAGCCCCCTTCCACATCCCAGGGTTGCCTGGAGTAAGTAACTGAAAGAAACTGGGGTAAGTGAGGTGGGGCTGAGCTTTGGGGAAAGGCTCTGACCTTGGTGGGGAAATCCCCATCCTGGAAGCTGAGGAACTCAGTCTGGAGCCAGCCAGTGACTCGATGATCATCACAGCCCTTTGTGGCTAGCCGGGCACACCAGAAGTCCATGCGGAGCCCACCGTAAAAATCCAGCCCATAATAGCGTCCCGCTTTTATAGTCCCCATCTGTGGCACAGTAGACAGGGGAGAAGTGCGCACCTCTGCTTCCCCTGTAGGCCTCCCTTCCAGAAACCCAGATCTGCCTAGAGCCTGAGGCCTCCCCCACTGCAGGCTGCCCAGCCAGCTAGGTACCTGGATGCCAATGGACATGCTCTGTGATGAGAGGAAGGGGCTCACGAAGGGTGTTCTGTGGGAGTTGTCACACTGCTGCCGCTGCAGGTTACCCTCTGACTGGCACTGCTCCAGCTTCAGGGAGCAGAAGTCACAGAGGGGACACACAGGTACATGGTACCGCCCAAGGCTGTCGCAGACCTAGGACAGGAGTGCAGTTAAGGGGCTGAGGCTGAGACCGTTCCACTCCTCAGCCTTCCAGAGCTGTCTTTGCATTCAGGATCTTCCAAAGGCTTCTGTCTTTTCTCCCTGCCCCTTCCCCAAGGTTCCACAACGACCTCATCTCAGCTTTCTCTTTCTTCACCCTCTTCCTGGACAATGTATCTACTCCCAGGTCATCATCATCTCTCTGCAGGTGACACCGGATCTTTATAGTCAATTCTGATCTCTTTCCCAAACTTCAAATCCTCAGTTGCTGAGTGCCTGAGAGATATCCACCCTGGGACCCAGTGACCTACAACCACCTTTAACTTAGACTTTTGAATAGACCTTTGAATAGGTCCTAATTTCCTTTCTCTCTCTTTCTCTCTTTCCCCCCACCTCTCTCCCACCACCACACCGATGATAATGCTAACATTTACAAAGAGTTGATACAAGGTTAGGAACCATGGCTATAAATGCTACATCTCATTTAGTCCTCACAGGAGACCTACACTAGCATAGGTACTAATAATGTCTCCATTTGGTTGGCAGAGAACCAGCCAATGAGGCTAAGTTGCTCAAAACCAAATGTCTTAATAGATGGTGCAGCTGGGGTGTAGATTCAGTTCTTTCAACTTCAAACCCTATACTCTACCCAAGCACCTAGGTTCAAAACCTCCCAAGTTCCTGGAAGACATCCTCCTAGCTGGACTCTCCGCCCTGACTGCGCTCCCTCAGCCTTCTCAGGAGGATCTGCAGTCACTCCCACCTTCCTCTGGCTTCACCCCTGAGCACCCCGCACCGCAGTGCACAAAATCTCCCACATCACCTTGTTTGCTCACACAACGGCTCCTAAGGGAGGCATTGCTGTGTTCCTGTTCAAAAGTGGTTGCTAAATTCCTTTTCCTACCAAATTAAATACAAATGCATCAGACTGCCATTTGTGATGTTTCACATTATGACCCTTACTATCTCTTTGACTCTCTCCCACTTTGCTCCAGGCAAAAATGAACTCCTTACTGTTCCCTTAACCAAGCCCTAAAC